AAGCTCATATGAAGCAAAAGTTTGCATATTGCAATATAGCTCGTGTGAATCTTTAACTCGTATGGACCAACAGCTTGCATTCTTTGGGTAACAAGTGAAAATTTTCCGTATTATTTTTTAGACGAGGACGAACAAGATGGTCAGCAATCGTTAAAAGGTTTGAATGAAACGGAGAAGGAAATACCTCAAGAAACAGTTGAAGAAACCAAAGAACAAGACAGCATTAGTTTACATAGTACGCCTAGTTTACGATTTGAACCTATCAGGTAACTATGTGTTGGAAATCAACACGAACCAGGTAACTATGTGTTGGAAATCAATTGAGATAAATAATTTGTTGTCACAGCCTGCTGCCATTTGCGTGTTTAATTTACTTTGGTTTATATAGAATTATCACTGTTTGAACTAATAATTTTGCTAATTAGTTCTCCTGTTAACACTTATTTTTCATAAAAAATAGCACTAACTTAAGAAACTCATTTTTGTTTTATTTTTTGCATTACGTTGCTTATTTTATTTTATTTTAGAAGACCTCATATAAGATAAATTAGCCCTTTGTTTGGCATATTCAAAAGTTCGATTTTTACCGAAAAAATCGTCTGAGCGTGAATACGGAAATGTTCTACCAACACCCGAGTGACATTTTTTATTTTTTCATGTATGTACTTTAAACGTCGTAAAATCATCTCATTATTTTAGTTGTGCAGACGGAGAGGATGCTGTTCAATTCACTGTTCATTAAGTGTGTCGTTCAATTGGAACTTATGCAAATGATCGACAATGTCGTCTTTTTCCCAAGCACCAGCAAGCGAGAAGATGAAGATACTATGGCTGAATTACAGGTCAGTTGTAATTACGGTCATTGTAGGTAATACTGAGATAAATTGCTTTGTCGTAATGTTGTTATACCAGAGTTCCCCTTGGTGGCATAACAAAGTTCTTAGCTTAAGCACAGAATAAGGAGCTTTAGCAAAGACTACGAGTACGACTACGAGTACGATTTACGTCATTTTGGCGCGAAAACATTGTAGCGACAACACCAACACGTAGCTGTCATCAGTGTGAGTACGATGTTTTGTAAAAAATTCGTAGTCGCGACTACGATGTCTTTTTAAGTAAAGAAAGTAGGTAAATTTTTTTATTGTGTAAGAAATTAGTTTACAGTACTATTTCCGAGCATCCAGGCTTTAATTTAGAACCCTTTTTGAGCGCAGATATACATTTAAAAGGAAAATATGACCTTGAAAACTTTCATGTATTTCGTACGCAAAGCGAAAGGTAAACAAACAATAAAATAGTACAAATATATCGTACATAAAACTTAAAATAGTGAAGATTTTTCAGTTTAAAGAGTCTTATGTTCTCGCAAAATCAGTATTACCGATTCATTGATATCATTATTGACAAATAGAGCCGTAGCTGCTTCGCAAACTTCGGTGTTTTACACAATAAAAAGGCTCGTTCTGTTGTTTACAACTAAAACAAAAATTTGACGAAGCGACAACGACAACAAACTTCCTCGTGCCATTCCCTTACACGGTCAAATTTCGTACTCGTTCTCGTAGTCGTACTCTTGCTAAAACTCCCTAATATGTAATATACTGAAAAGACACTTGACATCTTTAGTTGTTAGGAATAAATTTAATCAATGAAAAAGTTTGTCAAACGTAATGTGCCAGGATTTTTACCATTGCACTTGACTGTATTCAAGTAAGTTGTTTTTGTTTGATGTGTTAGGACACTTGGAGTCTTTAGTTGTAAGAAATAGATTTAATCTCGGAAACAGTACTCATATCCAATCCTCCAAGTTCCCATGTGTCTTTTCACCAAAATCTTTATCCCTCCATATGTCTATGTAGGTGATGTATTCATCTTATATAAAGTACTATATTTCATATTCTTTGTTCTTAGAAAGTCATTGCTTATGGTCATATTGTTGGTGATACACCAGACTCCATTGAACCAGAGAGGCGTTTAATTGACAGAATTATCGAGACTATTTGTACTTGCTCTACTGGTATAAATACTGATGTAAACGTTCAAATACAAATTATAAAGATATTTATAAAAGTATTGTCAAACTGTTAAAGTATTTAATGAGGGAAAGGATGTATCCTTGAGGAATTTAAAGAGGGTACGACATATGTTTTTTACATTTTTAGTCTTATTTTTTTATTATTTTTAATATTACGTCACCTACACACCAGATAGAACATAAAGTTCACAAAAAATATTCTCGTACTATATTGAATTTGCAGGAACGATGTCTCTTTCAAGGGAAAGAGCTATTTGTTATATAAATATAAGGAAAAATATGCTAGTAAGACGATTTGATCTTTTATAAAAACAGAACATTAATTTAATTTTCAAAGCCTTTATCAAACTTTCTATTTTATGAAGTTATTATAAATTACTTACAAAAATCGTCACAGAAAAGAGTATCCAACCATGTATCAAAACCGTATGAGGTACATACCCATATTTTTCAAGGAGTTTAATAAAGTTAATCATTTATTGAATCTAAAAGTTTTGTCAAATTTTCGTAGATTCTTTACAATACGACAATAAGAAATTGAAGGTCTGTTATGCCGATCGGTGCTTAGTACATACTACATCAATACATCTCTTGATCTTTGACCCTGGAATTTCGGAAAAATAGTTTGGCTGTTTTCATTTGGACAATTTTTGGTTTTTATTCTCTTCAATTTTTTTTTAAAATTTATACTGGGGCCTGTTGAACGAAGTGTGGATAGCGTTATCCATTGGATAGTAGTTTTTTAAATTTGTAAATGTGCATGGTTATAGTTTGTTTATGATGATGAAACTTTGTAATTCTAGAACCAATATTGTATTTCATTTATTGTCCAGTTCGAATCGTTGATTTTTCCCTTTTAAGATATTTTTGAAGCGCTCAAAAACGTTGCTACTCAGTTCAATGGATAGCGTTATTCGACCTTCGTGTAACTGATCTCTTCTTTGGTAATTTATATGGACAATGAACATGATTATTGTCTACTTTTCAGCTGTATCCAGTTACAAGCTGTGAATCAAAATGATCTCGTGATGAGCCCATCCCTTGCATTTCAATGATGTGTACATTACAGTACGAAGAAAGGCAAAATTGAAGAAATATTTCAATATAAAACTGTGACTCTACGTTGTGGAACGAAAAAATAAGTGTGGGAATGAAGAAATAGTCGCTTTGGTCATATTTGGTCAGTAAAATTATGTAAAACATTGATTTTAAAGCGGCATTGCTTAGCTACTCGTTATCGCTATTGTATTGTAAGGTTTGACTTAATGGCAGAATACTCGTCCACTCGGATTCATTGACTGTGCATCCACATTTTCAGTAGATACACAGATGATATTATGCCGTATATAAGATGATTCTAACTTCTGAGAAAAAAATCATCGTGCTACATCTATAATACGATAATATATATATATATTTTGGACAATACGATAATATATATTTATGCTTAGTTTATCAAATTGCGTTTCATCATATAAACACAAATGATCTATTTACCTACCAAAACGACTAAATTTTATTATTTAAATCAACCACGAACGATTTAAATAATTATGCATTACCACATTGATAGGTAATTATAGATTTATAGTGCCATTGTCGCACAACCTAAGCTTTCTGTTGTGCGGGATGCTAAATCACGATTCTTTTGACGACAAACGTTGGTTCATTACCACGAGTATTAAAATCAAAAAATGCTTATTCAATTCATCTTTTCAAGACTTCAACTCAATGCGTTACAATGCATTAACCAAATGCGTCGATAAAATGCGACCATCAAAATGCGTATTGAAACAACCAGAAACAGCGTTTGCAGCCTCTATTATACTGAACATTCAACAATATAAAATTACAAAGTTTCCTCTTTGCCACGATTGGAAAGAAGGTCTTCCTCAGCAACTCAATGCTTTAAACTTCCCATGACAAATGCATGTGCGTAATTTAACGTAAATAGTTCACATTTTACCATGCTCTTACTTCTTTAGTAATGTTCGTGCTTACGGAAAGAGAATGATACTTCACTTGTTTTTATTATTTATGAAAATTTCTTCCCGTATACTATTTTATATTGATAAGTTTTACATCGTCCATGTTATTATTGATAAACTGATAAATATTACGACAAGCAGGTCACGTTGCAAGAAAAACTGTCTGTTGCTCATTTCTATTGCTGTTTTTCAGTTTTTCCCATTTTTATGAACACAAAACGGTTAAAGCCACAAAGAATTCAACATAATTTATGTATTTTTTTAATGATCCTTTTATTCGTATGAAAATGACTGACTCAAGTAGTACCAACTATTGTCTGACTATAGCTGCTGATCTTTGGTTTGGAAACTCAAACTTTGACAAAAAATGGCCATTTGAATCGATATTTGGATACATTTTGGCCTATTTTCTATTCTAATAATTTTTTGGAATCATATTGCCAATTTATTATAAAAGACTCTGTAAAAACATAAATCTGGTGAGAACCATATATGGACAATGAAGATGATTATTGTCTACATTTCAGCTGTATCCAGTTACAAGTGCGGAAGTGAATCAGAATGATCTCGTGATGAGCCCATCCCTAGCATTTGAATGATGTTTACATTACAATACGAAGAAAGACAAAATTGAAGAAATATTTCAATATAAAACTGTGACTCTACGTTGTGGAACGAAAAAATAAGTGTGGGAATGAAGAAATAGTCGCTTTGATCATATTTGGTGAGTAAAATTGTGTAAAACATTGATATTAAAGCCGTATTGTTTAGCTACTCGTTGTATTGTATCAAAGGTTTGACTAAATGGCAGAATACTCGTCCACTTGGATTCATTGACTGCTCATCCACATTTTCAGTAGATACACAGATACACAAAGCATATATTATACTATATTTAATACATTACAAGATGATTCTAACTTCCGAGAAAATAAAAATGAGCGTTAAACGAAACACACTAGGCTGAAACAACACACAAGGCTGAAACACACTAGGCAGTCGCTTTAGTCGCTCGTCTAAAACTACCGCTTTGCGTGGTTACTAAGCTAGTAGCGTAGTCACGTCATCTAGTCGCTTTGAAAGTTCAACATGTTGAACTTTTGACATTAGTCGCTTTAGTCGCTTTACACTGATTGGCTAATAGATACATTTTAACTTCCTAAATGCATATCATATTCCCTGCCATAAGCATCATACGGAATTTATAGATTATGCCTTGGAATACGAGGGCAATATACAGTGAATTCACACTGGAATCTTTCAGTTTTTATATGACTTATCAAATAGGGACAATAGGAGCTACAAACTGGAACCCCAATGCACAACCTAAATGCACAGAATAAGATTGTCCACGATATACGCGTAATGTGCTATGATCATATTGGCGTATTTTAACTGGCTTGTTCTCTTTTCTCCACAAAGTAGTTTGTACTGAGTAAATATTCTTATATTGGTAGCTATAATAAAGGCCGAAATAAAAAGCTTAAGTTATGTCTGTGTGTGTAACAAACAGAAATCTTTGCCCTTTTCAATAGACGCCACGGTAAACCGTGTGACTGGCTTTCAAGCGACTGAAGCGTGCGCATCAATTCGCTTTCGACGCGCGACTGAAGCAACTGCCTAGTGTGTTTCAACCTTAAGCTAAATGGCGCTATGTTTTATTGGATAATACGATAATATATATTTATGCCTGGTTTAGTAAATTGCGTGTCATCTTGTTAACACGAGTGATCTATTTTCGTATCAAAACGACTACATGATAATATTTATATCAACCGCGAAGGATTTGCATCAATTATACACTACCACAGTAATAAGTAAACATAGATTTAAAACGCAATCGCACACGCAGTACTCTCATGATAATGCACAATTAAATTTATTTAAATCGATAAAATTTTTTGACAAAAAACTGTCCGTTTTCCTTTTCTTTTGCTGTTTTGCATTTTTTTAATAATCCTTTTATTCGTTTAAAAATGCCTGACATGGAAGTCGAGTAATTGACTGATTTCAAGAATCACAGGATTTTGTATGACACATTGAGGGTGGCTATATTTACCCCACCCCCAACTTTGTATGACACATTGAGGGTGGCTATATTTACTCAACCCCCTACTTTTTATGACACAATGAGGGTGGCTATATTTACCCCACCCCCTACTTTGTATGACACATTGAAGGTGGCTATAGTTACCTCACCCCCTACTTTGTATGACACATTAAGGGTGGCTATATTTACCTCACTCCCTACTTTTTATGACACATTGAGGGTGGCGATAATTTACACAATCCCCTACTTTGTATGACACATTGAGGGTGGCTATATTTACACAATCCCCTACTTTGTATGGCACATTGAAGGTGGGTATATTTACACAATCCCCTACTTTGTATGACACATTGAGGGTGGCTATATTTACACCATCCCCTACTTTCTATAACACATTGAGGGTAGCTATATTTACACCATCCCCTACTTTCTATGACACATTGAGGGTGGCTATATTTACACAATCCCCTACTTTGTATGACACATTGAGGGTGGCTATATTTACCCCACCCCTACTTTGTATGACACATTGAGGGTGGCTATAGTTACCTCACCCCCTACTTTTTATGACACATTGAGGGTGGCTATAGTTACCCCACCCCCTACTATGTATGACACATTGAGGGTGGCTATATTTACACAATCCCCTACTTTGTATGACACATTCACTTTGGCTATATTTACACAATCCCCTACTTTGTATGACACATTGAGGGTGGCTATATTTACACAATCCCCTACTTTGTATGACACATTGAGGGTGGCTATATTTACACCATCCCCTACTTTCTATGGCACATTGAGGGTAGCTATATTCACACCATCCCCTACTTTGTATGACATATTGAGGGTGGCTATATTTACACAATCCCCTACTTTGTATGACACATTGAGGGTGGCTATATTTACTCCACCCCTACTATGTATGACACATTGAGGGTGGCTATATTTACCTCACCCCTACTTTGTATGACACATTGAGGGTGGCTATAGTTACTTCACCCCCTACTTTGTATGACGCATTGAGGGTGGCTATATTTACTCCACCCCCCTATTTTGTATGACACATTGAGGGTGGCTATATTTACCCACCCCCTACTTTTTATGACACTTTGAGGTTGGCTATATTTACCTCACCATTTTGTTTGAGATGTTTTTGTAATGGGAAATATGCCTTCTCATATTTTCAACCTTTGTTTTTAGACACAAATTGTCTAGAGGCAATAGTCTCTGCTATATTTTTTGATGCAGTTTAAAGCTTGCTCAGGAAGGCAGGGATACCACTTTGTTAACTCTAACTTAGGACACATGTAAATATTTTTCTGTTTAAATCACAATTATTATTTTAGAGAAACGAGGCAGGAAGTATTCCAGCCATGAAATACATTGGTTTTCAAAGATGTATGGATTACATGCTCAACTGTAGACTCGATATTTCTACCATGGTGACAGACTGCCTTAAAACCTACAGAAGTACATGCGTGATAATCTGAATCAAATAACACGTTATTTTGACCTATGGCACATTAAGAAAAGTTAGTACAGTTGTTGTATAAAAGATGTAGGTTCTGCTCTGTTTTGAAAGTGTAAAATTTAATTTGTTACTTCATTGTAGAAATTGAAAAACTATTGACAAAGCTGAGCAAGGAAAAAGGAAGTGAAGCCCTTTCACAGTGGATTCGTCCTTTTGAGAATAACTTTGTATGGAGTGCAACATCAATTTTCTCAGGGGAGGTTACATTAATTTGGGCAAAATTTGTGTCTTTCCTGAGCCATGTTATAAACAAACATGATGAACTGGATGAACCACTTTTCATCAAGTTTGCTTACGGTGACATTGAACCGAGAGAATGGTTGAAGAAAGGTATACTTGCTCTCTATAGTTTCAAAGTTGTTCCTATTGTCAACACAGAATTGCATTGAGTGCACCTTTATTTTTCTTAAGGTAATAGCTATTTAATTATTTCCGACAGATTCTAATTTGTATGAAAAGTTGTTTGCAACTCTTACAAACAAGAGGGTGGCTAAGTTCAGCAGCTAACCCAAAATCATCCTTTGAGGTCTCTTCACCTACCATCATTTTTTTATTCTTTCATTTGATAAATGCTTTCATATTTGCTCAATCTGCAAAGGTCCTGATCCAAAATGTCCCGAAGATCAAGAAAAATTAAGAAAAAATATTGTAGGTGAAAATATTCTATATTTATGACGCGGGAAATTTTCATAAAGCTGTATCAATTTTTGCTTCGGACGGTTCTAAACGAAAATTCACTTGCCTTTCATTTATTACGAAAGAAACTAGTCTATACATCTCTTTACTACTTACTAATTAAAGTTTTATTTCGTCAGGTTCATTCTCAAGTTTGTGAGCATGCGCTCAACAGCTGCGTACATAAACAGTGTAACATTCAGTTACCTCGCTCTCTGCTTGATGAAGTGTTTTTCCCAATCTTACTGACCAAAGTCAAGGAGGAGACACTATTTTTGTATTGAAACATGAAATTGGAAACGCTCTTAAAAGGGCAAAGGAAGAAGATTTGGAAGCATGGCATTTAGCAAGAGCGGCTAAGGTTATAAGAAGAGATATATTCCAAACAAAGAACTCATTCAACGGAAAATTCTACAGGATTGTCAAAAGGATTCTGTTCCAGCATCATTAAAAGTTGTTATAGATATGATACTTAAAGGGGCCATTGTAAACAAACAACCGGCAGAAAGGGATCCAAATCAAACTTGCTTAACCATCTCTTAACATATTGTCTTCAATTGCACATCACGCGAGCGTGAAGCGTCAAGACCTCATCAATCACACTAGAGAAAAGGAATGTCCGGTACCAATATACACGTCCCTCAAAATTCATGGAGCTACGAGAGATAAATCACTTATCGACGCTTTTTTCAAGTTGAGATTGTGCATCTCGTACGATCGGCTTTTATCTGTTTCTTCCGACATTGCTAATAAAGTAATAGCAAGGTACGAGAGTGATGACGTTGTTTGTCCTTTGAAGTTACGGAAAGGATTGTTTACAACTGCAGCAGTTGACAACATAGATCATAATCCCATCTCCACAAGTGCACAAGACTCTTTCCACGGTACAGCAAATTTGCAGCATCTAACAGTTCATGAAAATGGTGAAAGTAGAGAAGTAGATTTATTTGATTCGTTGTAAATGCGTCAAAGCACACTTAATTTGTACTCGTTTGTGTAATTGTGGGGGTGATTGTCAATAACATGATGGCATTAAAATCATTTTAATATTATTGTTCGTGGTTAGGCGCTCTTCCAATGTATTTAAGAAAGAGCAACAACACTAAACAAAAGTGCCGAGTCAGCACTTTTAAAACACTTTTAATGTAGAATATTTCAGAATTTATTTCTCAAAAGCAAAAGTTGTAATATAGTTTTTTTTATCGTCTTTAGCTGTTGTATAAGAATATACAGGGAAATTGCTATGACTCCGTACTTTTGTTTTTTTTTTACTACTGAAAACGTCATCAAACACGACATGCGCTGAACGCGTTGTAAATGTAAAATATGGGCTGGCCCTATATCAAACTTTTGTCATTTGAGGCATGGTAAGACTATAACAAAGTTTTTCCCTTGTATCATTCAAGTGAAGAATTTTGTCATTAACAGCTGTACTATATCAGGTTTCATGACAACAATGCTATTGTCATTCGTCAGGTCATTTAGAACGTTGATTTCGTCTTTTGAAAATAAAAAACTAGGACGGCTGTAGCTGCAAAGACCAGATAGTGCGATGTCTTTCATTTGAGTTTTTACGGATTTATAGTGAAAACCAGAGTGTTCATAGATGCTTTCATTATGAGTTGCGGCGAAGAATTTTTCGAAGGGGGCAAGACAATTACCGTGGTTTAACTTAGTAGGTGGAATGGCAAAATTTAAACAATTAGAAAGGATTTCTTTTTCTTTGTTGGTGATAAACCTGTTCGACAATTGAACACCACTTTGTCGGGGTTGATT